ATCTGATTATTGAGTTATGTACTGATCCAATACAGATAAGTTGTGTTTTTATTTGTAGATTGACTGTATTGTAGGAATAAATTGATTAGAGTTGTTACGACTGATTGTTTGTAATTTATTCTTGTATTCTATTTTTAAGTGTATGGTATTAAGCTGGGGTATACCCTTGTATTGTGTAATGATAAGTCTAATTACTTGGTATCAGTGCAGTGTTTTTTTTCTACTGTTTAGCATTTGGCTGATAAAGAAAATATTATGCTTCTTCAAGTTTTTTCTGTATTGACTATAGAAACTTTTATTTATAACTTCTTCAATGGGAGTATCTGTTTCAATGATTGTGATATATTTTCCATTTAGTGTGTTATGAAAGGAGAATCCATATGTTCTTAGTAGCTATATAATATCATGTATGATGTTTTTTCCTAGTGATAAGAAGAGTGTATGTAACTGACTTATTATTATTTTTGTAGATCAGGACATATTTTGTAATAATTGTAATCTTTCTCTAGCAATTTCTCCTGTTATATTATTTTGATTGACTTATGAGGTCCAGTTTGTAGCATGAAGCAGAAGTTTCTGTCCCATAAGTACATTAGATTGTACTCAAATTTGTTGTATAACATACTATTAGGAACTGTGTTTGTAAGGCCTAACTTATGTTTAAATGTAATTGCTAACTTGCTCATTATTTTGTTGCAGGTATCCCTAATAAGGACAATGTCATTACAAAGATACTCTAGGCTGGGCATGAGGATATGATTGATTATATATTGCATCTGTTTGTCAGTAATTCTTTTTATTTTTAGAAGTGTTTATGTTTTTTGAATTTTTTGCTTGATTAGGGCTTTTTGATAGTCTTTTCTTCCAAAGCTATTATACCATATACCAAAAATTCTGATTGGAGTATCTCGTCTGCATTCTGTAATTCTTTAATTATTCATCCATACTCCTTGTGTATAGTATTTTCTTTACCATTGATTATTAGAAGCTGGGATTTTTGTGGATTTACTTTAATATCATTAATATGGAAAAATTGTTTAGTAGTATTTATTATTCTTTGGAGTGCTGCTTTGTTGGTTACGATCCATGTTGTATCATCCATGTATGTACTAGTCACAATTTTTATAGATCTTGAGAACCATCCTTGATCTAAATGTTTACAGGTCTTGACTACTAGTGAGTATCCTATGTGTTCGTTACTAATTCTTATAAAGAGGAGGGCATAAAAAATGTGTCATAGTAGTGGGGATATAGTATTGCTTTGATCTATACCATCTTCAACTGAATATGGATTGGTAGGGTCATGGCATGTTAGGACTATATTTTATCTATATTTGAAGATATTATCAAGGATTTGTATTATTTTTTCTAGAATTTTTAACCATTGGAGTGTCTTTTTTAGCATTGTGATGTTTACTGAATCATAAGCTTTAGACATGTCCTAACTGAGAATCCAGGCTTCTTGATTTGTTTCTTTGGCATGTTCTATGATACTACTCAAGATGTAAATAGGGTCTTGTATACTGTTTTCTGATAATGCTGCCCAGTTTAGGTCTGACAGTATTGAGTGATCTTTGAATACTTTAGCAAGGTGATCTATTATGATCTTGATAAAGATTTTCTTTTTAGTATTCAAAAGAGTGATTGGTCTTGTTATGTTGAGAGTGTTTTCCCAGTCTTTGGGTTTGGATATTGGATATATAGTTCCTTTGCTTCATTTTTTGAAAGTTGTGTCTTGTTTTAGGATATCATTGAAGATTTCTCTCAGTTCTTCTATAATATTTTTCTTTAGATATTTGTAGGTGCTATATGGAATTTGATTTTTTTCTAATACTGATTTGTTACTTCAGCTGCTAATATTGTTGTTAATTTTTCAGTTGTAATCTTAATGAGAACATCTGAGTACTAGCTGCTCTTGATGTGAGATTTGGCTTTATATTCTTGTTGTCAGTATGAATGATTTGCCAATAATACTGTGTTTCTAGGTGATGTCCAGTTGAGAAAATGTTGTTTAACTGTTTCTTTAATTTTGTTAAGTTCTGTAATAATTTGTATATCCTATTTTTGCTAGATGATTTTGCCAAGATGGATATGTTGCATTGGTCTATCTAAAATGCTATTGATCATGGCTTTTTTATTACTTTCTAGAAAAGCCTGTTAGCTTGCTATTCTTTGAGCTATGGCTTTAAATTCTATGCACTTTGTGATATGTTTGCCAACAGTTTTGTGAGCTTTGATGTATGATTGGATAATCTGTGTCCACTTTGTATGGTATAGAATTCTTGGCTCTTTTTTGACTTGATATAATTCTGTGGTAATATTAGGGAAGTGTCTTTGAATATATGTTGATATATTTATTCTATCTCAGTATTGTTTTCTTAATTCATATTATGGAGTTGCTTTAGAGTTGTCAGGAATAATTGTAGATAAAGTAAGGGAGCATCTGATTCTTGATCTACTTTCTAGAGATATTTTTTTGATGTTAATATTTTTTTGGTATATGTTTTTTCACTACCTGCAAGAATTGGAGCTGAAGAAATTACATCTTTAATCGATCAATCTGGAATCTAGGAGTATATTGCTTATTGTTGATTCCACTGTCTAGGAAAATTTTTTCCATTGCTTGTCATTGTTATGAGGCCAGTTGTACCTGATGTTTAGTTTATGGGTAGATGTAATTTTAGATGTATTTAACTTCTATATCTCCAGCTCAGTAATCATTGGTCTGTGATCACTGGTAATTAGAGGATCAAGCAAGTCTATGATATTGGCTTTATATGTGTGCTATGTTTTTTTGGGATTAATCCAGATCTGGTCAAGTCTTCTGTGGCTGCCTTGACTTTGTCAAATGCATTCTCTTTTTGATAGGTTGTAAGTACAGTATATGTCTATAAAACCATTGTCAATAAGGGTTTCAATTTGTTTTCCTGATGGATTGTGAATATGGATCAGTTTTTTGTTATTCAGTTTGTCCATGCTGGGATTGGGTGTGCCATTCAGGTCCCCCATGACTATGACATGCCAGTCCTATACTGTTGCCTTATTGATCCATTGTTTGAATGTATGCATAATGCATGTTTGTTCTTTAGATGAGTCTTGTGCAGGGAAATAGATACTAATTATTTTCAGTTTTCTTTTTTTGGAAAGGTGAGATCTATGACTATTAGTTTGCTATTAAAGATTTTGTATTTGTATATTCTCTGCACAATATCTTTTTTGATCATCATATTTTGGCCATAACCTAGGATTTGCACCTCTTTGTTAAACTAGATTATTTGAAAGTTTAAATGTTTCCAGTATTTAGAGTGTTGGTGTGATCCATTTATTTCTGTTATTATTATAATGTCCCATTGCTTTTGATCATATAAGTTGAACCATGTGTTTCTCTTTTGTGTGTCTACTAATCCATGTATGTTGATGATTATAAGTTTCCAGATTGGTTAGTATTTGTTGAGATTTTTTTCTATGGGCAAATTATTATTGTTGATGTTGTTATTAATGTGTTATTATTGTTTAAGTTTATTTCTATTGGGTTCGTATTCAATAGTTGGAATGTTGAATTAAAGAAATTTGATAGTTAAGTTTCATTTAAAGGGTTCTTGTTATATTGTTGATATTGTACTTTGTGAACTTTCTATTATTTATTTGATTAATTGTTGGTTCCCCTGGGGAAGAGTTCTGCAATAGCATTGAGAACTTTGTTCATGTTTTTGTCCATTCTACTAATAGAAGCATAGATTTGTTGTTGTGTTTGTATATTGGCAGTCTTATTCTGGTGACTGGTTTGTTGCCAATTATTTGTTGTATCAGGTGACTCAATCTTGATTTTTGTTTTCATTTCTTTGGGAATATTATTTTCTACGTTCTCTAAGTTATATATCCTCTCATCTAAATCAATAATGTTTTCTTTAATTTTTTCGATTTCTGCTTTAATTTTTTCTAGAAGATATAAGATATTTGTAAATGTTGGTTGTTTATTATTGTATTGGCTAGTATTGTCTTATTGTTGGTCTTGTTTTGCTGCTGCCACATAAGAGCTTGGTTATCTTTCTTGAAGTTCTTACTTGATTTCTGATTGTTGTAGTGCATGATTATTTGTATTTATTGTAGAGTTTCCCAAATTTCTCAACTTGCTCTTTATTGTATTGCTTCCACTGAAGTCATTTTTCCTTGATGGGGCAATTGGCCATAAGGTGTTTATAGCTGTCACAGATTGAGCATAGTTTTGTTGCCAGGTGATTATTGTTTCTCCAAGTTGATAATCTTGTTTTATTGCCTTGTTCAGGTCTTTTTGACAATCAAAACTCAGGACTGCAAAGTGTTTTTTTTTTATATGACATTCTTCTTAAGGTCAAAGGCAATTGTATTTGGTAGTAGATTAGTTAGTTTGACTGCGATCTGATTACATTCTTTCATTTGCTCCAAGTCCCATTATGTATCAAAAACTCTGACTGAGTCTAGCTTAAGTGAAATGCTCCATCAGTTGATTAGTGCTTCTTTGTTCTCTTTGTTTATGTATATGATCATTGTTGTTTGCCACATTTGTTGTATTGACATAGTGACATTGCTAATTGCTCCATATTTGACAAAGGATTGTTGCATTTCAATGAATCTTGTATCGAGAGGAATATCTCATACTCTGATACTAATTTCCTTTTTAAGAATAAGATTTGTGAACTCCATGATTTCCATGTGTTAATTGTTTTTTTCAGGTATGATTGTATTGCATATCTCAATTGCTACTTGTTTGTTACTAAGAATGGCAATGATATATGCATTTTTGTTGCTTCTTTCACTATGGATAATGAAAAGTCCTTCTGGAGAGTTAAGGACTTTAGTGAGATGGATTATTTTTTGTGTTGTCATTCTGACAGGAAGTTCAGATACTAGGATGCCAATTTTAACTCTTTCTCTTCCATATCTTTGTATCTTATTGAATAGAGAGAAGGGTCTTGGTTTTGTGATCTGCTTGTATTTCTTTTATTTGCTTTTGTAGTTGAATGTTCTGTAGTATTATAGGTCACGTGAGTGATGCAATTTATGTGTAACAGTTCAAAATCCAAAAACCTGAAAGTCTAGCATGAAAGATTGAGTATCACAAGATAAAAAACTATAGATAAGGTTTGGGTACTGATAAGAGAACTATGTGTATCTGAAAAAGTATAAAAAGTTTAGCAAAGCTTAGGGTTAATATAGCTGATTATAAAGTAGATAGTCCATTGTTAATTAGAAAAGTATAAATAGCTTACCAATATATACCAAAAAGGCAGAGCTGAATATGTTAGAAAAACAGCTCTTATTGAAAATAGAAATAAGCGTTAGTGATATCTCAAAAAAACAGAACGCAATAAAGAGACACTTGTTTTTAGCCAAGTCAATCACCACGCCTCTGCCTTCCCTAAGTGTTCTTTATAAGAGGTGTTCTCTTCTTTGTGAGTATTCGTGTGACATCTGGGTTATGCAAGGCACTACAAATTAGTGACAGACTCAACAGGATAGCTCACGACAGTAGGAAGGAGTTGTGGGTATTGATGAGTATTCTCTTTCTTCCGTGTTGATGTCTAAGTCAAAGGTGTGTTCCTTTTCTTCTTGGTTTTGAATAAGTATATCTTGGTTAGTATTGTTTTTGCTCATGTGGTTTTTCAAGTTTTTTTGACTTTTTTACTCCAGTTTGGGGTGTTTGTTTCCTTTCTTGTTGTTGAACTACTTGTCAAAATATCCGTTGTGTTATTATCTGTCTGTATGTGCCTGTTGGAAGAATTGGGAGCTGATGAAAACTGGTTTTTTTCGATTAATATCTGATTTTGAGTAGTTTTCTTTGAGGAATTTGAAGTTATTTCTTTGCATAACTTGTTGGTATTACCTCTTGCAAGAGCATTTTCATTGTAGTTGAGCCTCCATTGGGCTGTTCTATTGCGAAGTTCCCTTTGGAAAGACATCTCTCTATTTACTTTTTTTTTTTTTTTTGCAAAATTATTATAAAAGAAAATTTTTTAGAAAATAAGAATCTGCAGGAAAGAGTTTTTTTTGAAATACTATGCAAAATAATGTATATTTTCTATAATTAAAGATAGGTTTATAAAGGAGAAGACAAGAACAAAAGTTAAATATATCATACTAAAAAATATTAAAATTTTTAAATTAACAACTATAAAAAAATTATTTACAATTGTTCTTTATTATTTTCTAACTTTTGTTTCTATTAAAGTAAAGAGCTATGAATTTTGTTTCTCAAAAAGAAACATAAGTGATCTGCAAAATTTTATATACTAAATACTTTAGAGACCTATCATTATCTATAAAAGAATTATCTTTCTATTAAACATAATATCTTTCTGTTGTAACAATTATTAGAAAGTTTATAGATTAAAGTATTTATTATAAGGTTAATTAAAATACTTACTATATACTGTATATATATTTTTTAAACTACTATCAGATTAGTTATATGTACTTTATTAAATATAATGTAAGCTATATTATTTACAATATTGCTAAAGCTAAAATATTAACTAACTCACTTGTCTTAGTTTATTGTCAAACTCTAAGTACAACTTTAGAAGTGATTTGTCATTTATAGTTTGGGTGAATATTCTTCTACTATGGATATTATTGCTTATAGTTCACTATGGCAAATCACTGATCAAAGTTCTGATTGAGTCTAAAACCCAACCATTTCATGTCACTTTTAACTCTTATTATTATTATCCTTATTAATCCTTTTTCTAAGTATTCTTCTTTCATTTTCTTTTTTTTTCCTCTTGGCCTTCTTGTTTTTCTTGTTGGATAAGACTTTGTAGATCTTCTTATTTTATATTTTCAAAAAAATTTCTTGAACTTTTTTCTATTCTATTACTTGTTCACATTATTTGTTCTACACTTCCTTCCTGAAGTAATTCAAAATCTTATTTTGACAATGGAATATCCATTTTTTGACTACTGTTCCTATTTTTTTTTTTTTATATTCAAGTTCTTCTACTTATTTAATAGATTTCTTTTGATTAGCCCTAAGAGAAAATTGACTGAGTGTTGACTATTTTTGAATACTCTTCTTATAAGCTTTATTGACCATACTTCTATTTTTCTCATTTCTTTTTTATCTATATCAAGATATTACTATATTCTTTTTGAGCTTGGTCTTTTCACTTCTTTTTCTCTTTCTTGAATTCTTGATATATTATCTCTACTTTTCTTAATCAGGCTTCCTTTATTGTATTTTTATATTTTGAAATTTCCAAAAGATGTTCTACTGTTTCCTCCTATTCTTCACATGTTAAACAGTCATCTTTGTGATATAGGTCTGATCTTTTTATCACTAGTTTAGTCATTGTTAGTAATTTATTGTTGATTAACTTTATCAGAAAACTTTTCTGTTATGAGCTTTTAAAGGAGGTATCCCACATGTATTTCTTTTTTTATCTTTCTCATACCATATCCTATAAGTAGTTCTGTTGATCTTCTATTTGAAGTTCCATTTGTTTTTAGTTTAGTTTTGTTGTAACCAGCAGTATATTATTGTTTTATTATTTATCCTTTTTATAAATTGCCTTATGGGACTATCTAATATTATATTCTTCTATTTCACTTTTGTAATAATCTTATCAGATTTAAGATCTTTTCACTGAATTGTTGAACAGTTTAGTACTTCTTTAGCCAACTTAACTATTAGATTATTTTCCTTAATATTGGTGTGCACCTTAATATTAATCAACTTCAATTTTATATTTTTTGTTTTAATGATATTTAGTATTCTTGCTTAAAAAGACCAGTTTTTTTCTTTAAGCCACCTTCTATAAGTCATTTTTGGATCATCTTTTTTCAACTTGTTTTATTTAAATATATATGTTTGACTATCTATATAAATTTTAATCAAGCTTTTTATTAGTATTACCAATAGAATTGTGACTATTGCTACTAGTTCTACTCTTATAGATAATGGCCAATTTTATATACCTACCTGGAAATTACTCCCTTGACCTTTCCCACTTGTTTGGATCTATGTCATTTTTATTTTAGCTGTTTCTTTTCTATAATCTATTACATATCTGTCTAATTAAAACTAGAATTTCTCTTGTTATTCAAAATTTCTTCTTAGAATTTCTTTTAAATGGTCTTAATAGATTCCTTCTTGAATGTGTTCTTCAATAATCTATGTTTCCTATTATTCAATTATTACCTGTAGTATTTGGTTTTCATTTTCTTGAGATGTTATAGTACACTTGATTTTGTTTACTATTTTACTTTCCAGTATTTCTTTTTTTAGCAAAATCTTTAGTTCTTTGGTTGTTTTTATTGATTTGTATTTGTTCAAGAAAGTGATCTCATAAAGCTTATCTCTATTCTCATTTATAATATAAGCAACATTAATGAGTATGCCATTTGACATCCTCTGCACTGAAAAAAGTTGTTTCCTGATTTTCTGCTTGTTCTTCATAGTTAAAGTATACCAGTTTCTTTTCTGATTTTGAAACTTTTTCTCAGATTAATCCCACTAGACTTTTGTTCAGAATACATTAGGTTTTTTGTCTTTTGTTCTTACTTAAGTTGAGTTTCAAATAGTCAGGTTCTATAAGATATTGTTATTATATCATTTTTTCATAATTTCATCTATTTTTTTTGTGATAATAAGTTTGACAATCTGTTATACTAATCTGGAATTGATTCTTTACTTGTTTCCTGAAGTAGTTGAATTAAACTACACTTTTTTAGTCTTATAGTTTTCTTCTCTACAATCTGATTTAGGTACATTAGTCTGTTGTTGTGTAGTGATGAAATAGCTTTTTTATATTCTTCTTTTGATAGATATTTCTAAATTGAGTTGTTACCTTTTTTCTATTCAAAAGTTTTATTATTTTTTCAACTTTGGAAAGTTATAACTAAATCCTTTGCAATTTTGAGTATTTGCAATGAGAAGTTGCCCTTGTTTGCTATTTAATTTAGTTTTTTTATAGCTGAGCAAGTTTTGGAATTTCCAGTGTTTTAGCTGTATCTATTTAAACCTAATAATTGTTGTGAGTTCTGCTGGACCTTTATTATTTAGCCTATTACAAAGATCTATAACTTGGCTTTTTTTTTATAGCATTCATATGCTTTTGAAACTATAGATTTTATGATGATATACTATACTATAAGGTATCAATTTGCATAATATACTTTTGATTTTGAATAGTTTTTGAAATCTCATTGTATGTTTTCAATGATAATATATTATGCTGCATTTAAAATTCTATTCTTGGAATTAGGATTCTATTTAAAATATAAAGGGCTTACTGTATTTATCTGTTACTTTTTTTTTTCAATGTTCTAGTTATCAAATCGATTTCCCTGTGAATTTTTTATATTATTTCTACTGAAGTTTTTTGGTTTCCTATCTATATACCTAGAAATCTGATATATTCATTTTTATCTAACTCTTTTATCTCTTTTTTGTTTATTCTGACCTTGACTCTTTCAGGATATGGGCTAGGATTGTTAATAGTGATGAGTACTGATTTACTACTATTAATTTGAGAGTTGTGGCTTTATAAAAAATTCTTGTTATTTTTAAAATTTGTTCTATATCCTCTTTTGATATGGCTATCTATGTACAGTAGTATCATCTATGAAAGCTATTGCTACATATATTCTAGCTTATATTCTTTTTTTCATTAAAATCTGGATTCTATTTGACTGACATTATGTATCCTTTGTTTTTGTCATTTTGAATTTTGCATAATAAAGGATTATAAAATATTCTCTATTGTAATAATGAAAGAGTTTTCCCTTGATCTATATTATTTTCTACTACTATTGATTCTATTAGATCATTTTCATATAATATCTTGAATTCTCTATTTACAAAAAGATTTATAATAATTTTAATGAATTCTACTAGTATATTGATTTTTTTCATTGCTTTAACATATCTAAACTTATAGTATCATATGCTTTGACTGTATCTTGAAAGAGTATTCACAATTCCTTTTTGTTGTTTCTAGCTTCTTCACAAATATTATTCAATACTTAAATAGGTTTTGCTGTACTTTCTTCAGGTAGACTTATAAAGTTTAGATCCTTCAGGACATTATATGTTTTGTAAATATTATTTAATCTATTTGTAAGGATTTTTGTAAAACATTTTAGAGTAACTTTTAGAAGAACAATTGGTCTCATATTTTGTAATTTGCAATTCCATGTTTTTGGCTTGACTATTAGATAAATATGGCTTTGTTTCTATCTGTCAAGAATTATTTCAAGTTCTAGAAATTTTTTCAATATCTTTTTAAAATGTTCTTTACCTTGGATGCTTAGTTTCTTAAGCATCTTATAATATATTTATGATCTACCAGGAACTTTATTGTTTGATAATATTTGTAGAATTTGAAGTTCTTCTTGAGATATAAAAGTTAGAAGTCCTTTATATCATATATGATTAATGTTTATCCTAGGTTCATATTTTTTTTTCTATTTCTTAGTCAGAAGGTCAAAATTAGCACTTCATTTTTTAAAGGCTTCTTTATAATATTTTTGAAGTTCTCTTTCTATTTTTACTTGGTTTATTGTAATATATTCTTGTCTATTGTTTATAGTTTTAACTCTATCTAAGACTATTTTGACTCTTTCCCTATCTCAGATTGAGTTAATTATTTTTTGTTAATTGTCTCTGAGATTATTTCATTTCTGTTATAGTGCTTTTTTGATCACTTCTTTGACTTTCTTACTTTTTTCATTTTGATAAACTGTTTTGAGTATTTCAATTATATCCTAAATTTCCTTTTGAATTTCTGACTAGGGCATGTTTTCTATACTATATTATAGAAATA